GCGCACACCACAGTAGTCGGTCCCCCTCCATAACGACACATTTCTTTTACCCTCCTTTCCCTACATCCCCGATCTCTACTTACCCCCCCCCCCCCCCCCCCATTAATATCATCTTTACTACACCATCCATCAAGGTCCTCCCCCCCGTCCCGGCTTCGTGCTTTTATTCTTGTTTCCGATTCTCATACCATACACCCCCTTTCCCCAATATTATTATACCCGCAAACAACAACAGCCGCACCATCCGTTCGTGGTTCGAGTGTGCACATCTGATCGTGGTGGTTTGTTGTCAACCCCACCCTACAACTACCCGTCTTGCCAGCCTCGGGGAAATAAGTCTGGAGGAAATACCAAACGTGGCTCTCCATTCACCACCCCGACCCTCCGCCCCATGTCTCTCTACACCCCACATAACCAGTTCCCCTTCCGTGTTCGGGTACTGTGACGAAGTGAGAGAAACTGAAAACAACCCACTCCCCGTAATTCTTTCTTTTAAAACCCTTCGTTAGAATATTTCTCTTTCAAGGTCCAACCATCCCGCTAGCGAGAGCTTTAAAGCCCACTTCTATCCAATGCGGCCTAGCAGGACAAGGGACCTGTACCGAACAGGATTAGTTGTGCGCAGGGACAACAGATAGTATAAGGCATTCAGGGAACCCGGTTATTTTAATATAACCGGACAAGAGACCAGGCCATTGGGCCGAACAATGTTGTCTACACTGTACAGGCTTGATTTTTGTGAAATTGACAGTTTGGAGGTGCTATATTGTGTATCTTTTATCTATAAACGTATATACTTCTAAACCAGATGTGATCTGAGCAAGAGCACCTCTGCTAAAACAGTGATTAGTGTGAGGGAGTGACAAGTGATGTTGAAAGTGCTGAATGCTAAAATTGACGAAAGTGTGTCACCCTGCTCGTGGTTCCACCCCACCTCGGTGGTCACTCCTTGCCACGGTGGGTCACCCCTGCCTCGGTGGGACACCCTGCCTCGTGGGTCACCCGCCTCCGTGGGGTCAAACCCTGCCTCGTGGGGAGAAGGCCGAACTTGTTAATATATATATAATATATATATATATCTATATATTATAGATATAAAATATATATTATATATTATATATATATATAATAAAAATATAACTAAATACAAATATAAAAAAATATAAACTATAATATAATATAAAATATATTCATATATATTATAATCTCTATCTATAGTCATACTAACACACATCAACTATATATCTCCACAAATAACTCACAATAAATTGCAAATTAAACCTAAATATAAAAAATAAATATAATAATAATATATATAAATAACAAAATCACAAAAAATTAAAAACTCAAACACACTAACACACTCTAAACAATCAATATCAAACACACACACACACACTCACATGACCACACGGACCCGCCCATACCCCCCTGACCGCCGGTGTACAACCCATACGTAACCCCGTCAAGATAATGGAACGCAGAAGTGTGACACATGTTTGCTCGCCCCCAGTTAGAGCCAGGAACATGCAACGATGAAGTTCACAACATCAGCCAACAACAGCAATAATTGCAACCGACTGAAGAAATTATATTCAGACGCGAGTGTGTCAGAGTATTCTAGTCTGGTGGTGTAGGTGACATTAATGACTCTACGTGTATAGATAATCAGAAACCAAATGAGACATCATTTAGTGGTCTGTACAGAAATAAGAGAGAGCGAGCTAGATAGATAGAGAGAGAGAGAGAGAGAGAGAGAGAGAGAGAGAGAAGACGAGCGAGCGCGTCGCGAGAGATGAGAATATAGCGAGAAATTGAAAACAACCACAAGGGGGAATTGAGTGATAGCTCTAGGCCTTTCGTGTAGCAATCCAGTAATCAGAGCTTGAATGGGCAGGAAAGAAGTAAGAGATCCAAGGAAATAAACGAGCACCAGCTCCTGGGCCCCCCGGGTTACCTGGGAGGTTACCCTGGAGGTAATATCCGGGGATCAACGCCCCCACCCCGCGGCCCGGCCCATGAACCAGCCTCCCCGCAAGGATCAGTGCCTGATCAACTAGGCTGTTACGGCAGGCCGCACGCAGTCCAAGCGTACGATCCACAGCCAGGCGGCTGATCCGTCACTGACTTTAGGTACATCTGTCCAACTCTCTCTTCTTAAGGCAGCCAGGTTTATTGGCCAATTCCCCTAATGCATGATGGGAGGCTGTTGAACAGATTTTTGTGCCCCGGACACTTATGGGTGATTTTCTCGTTAGTGTACAATGCGGCCCCCCCTACTTTTTATTGGGGTCATTTTGCATCGCCTGCCCAGTCTTTTACTTTCGTAGGAGTGAATATCTGGTGTGCAATTTGGGACCATTCCTTCCAAGAATTCCAAGTTTAGCTTAAGATATATCTCTCCCACCTGCTCCAACGAGAAACAAGTCAAGT